TTTCCAACTTCCACATTCCAATCACCTGTAATAATCAATACATCTTGATTGCATGTTTGGTCAATTTCATACCACAGAAGTTGGTAAAAAATCTTCAGTTTCCTTATCTTTGGCTGTGGTTAGTGTATAAATTTCAATCACAGTATTATTAACTTGTCTTCTTTGTAGATGTATGAATATTATCCTATCACTGACAGCACTGTACTTCAAGATAGATCTTGAAACATTTTTTGTGATGATGAATGCCATGCCATTCCTGTTCAATTTGTCATTTCTGGAATAGTAGATCATATGGTTGTCTGATTCAAAATGGCCAAGACCAATCCATTTCAGCTCACTAATGCCTAGGACATCTATCTTTATATGTTCCATTTCATTTTTGACAACTTCCAATTTTCCTAGATTCATACTTCACACATTCTATGTTCCAATTATTAATGGATGTTTGCAGCTGTTCCTTCGCTTTTTGAGTTGTGCCAAATCAGCAAATGGAGGTCCTGAAAGCTTTACTCCATCCATGTCATGAAGGTCAACTCTACTCTGAGGAGGCAGCTCTTCCCCAGTTGTATTTTGAGTGCCTTCTGACCTGAGGGGTTCATCTTCCTGTACTATATTGGAAAATGTTTCAGCGCTATTCATAAAGTTTTCCAGTAACATACCAGATAACATTTCACTCCCATTTATAAGGTTTTCACTGACCAATTCTTTGAGAAGTAGATGGCCCCTTCGTTCTTCCAAGTATGTCTTACTGGAAGCTCTGCTGAAACCTGTCCACCATGGGTGATCCTGTTGGTCACTTCTTACTTGCCCTTTAACGTTATGCAAATTATCCCTCACTTAAACCAACTCCTATCAAAAACCTAGTGCCTAAGCCACTCCTTGTAAGGAAGGTTGGGCAATCCTACTTCCGTAGTGATACTGCCGCGGAAACCCAAGGAGGGATCACTATGAGTCAGGGTTGACTCGACGGCACATAACAACAACAACAACCAAAAACCCACAGCCATTGAGAGATTCCGACTCATAGTGACCCCCATTAGGTGTCTAAGGCTGTAAATCTTTACAGAAGTAGATTGCCTCATCTTTCTACAGAGCAGCTTGTGGGTTTGAACTTCCAACCTTCTGGTTAGCAGCCAAATGCCTTACCCAGTATGCCCCCAGACTCACAACAATTGTTCATCACATTCACCTTCACTTGCTGCATGTATAGCTTCTAAATCACTGAAAAGACATTGAGACTTTTCTTGTACTAAAGTAAAGCTAAATATGAACCCAAGAGTATTCTGAGGTGGGCCTGGGGCACCGGTGTTTCTTAAAAGTTCTCCAGGTGATTGTATTGCACAGCAAGGGTGGTGAATTAACCACTTACTTCCACAGTTGTTGCCCTGCTTTCCCTGCCTTCTGTCTTGTCCTCCTGTTAGATCCTCTCGAATGCCTAAAGAACTCAATTCAAACTTGTGAGCATAGTGTAAAAGACTCACCATGACCTGATCTTATCTACCTGAACATCTCTCTTCTCTCCTCCCTCCCCACCTGTTTACAACATGCCATGACCTCAGCTTCTGAGCCTGCACACTTACTCATCTCTTGCTCAGAAATGCTCTTCATTATTTATCTGCTTGGAGAGCTGCACCTTCTCTCTAAGGTTTCCAGATACCCTTTTTCCTAATCCTCTTCCAGCATTATGAAAGCACCCCATTTGTATTATTATTTTTTGACTAATAATATTTATCCCTATTTCATAAGATGTCTCTCACCTTCATTAGGCTTTTTAAGAGTAAAGATTATGCCATATTTGCCTCTGTATTCCCCAAACTAAGCACACTGCCTAACATATATATACTGGCATTTTATATTTGCTGGA